GGAGTCGCGACAGCCAGCAAAGAAAGAAAACAAAACGAGAAAGCAGCGATACGCCGGCTAAGGACTGGAGTGCGGAAACGAGTGGGCATGGCGTGGGGGCCACATGCAACAACCGCTGCAAGGGCTAGATAGTGTAGCAGGAGGCGACTGCATAAATAACCCAGCAAAACAAAAGAGTGCCCTATCGAAAGTCGACTCGCAGTGCCAAAATTTACGACATCTACGAACATTTCCACGCATAAATTTGGGCCAGTTAAAAAATTTCACAGTTTCAGAATTCCAGAATTCCAGCAACAGCACAACAGAATTGCCAAGCAAATTCCTTTGTTTTATCGCATTTGTTGCATTTGTTTTAATTGGAAAACTTAAAGCAATGGCCAAGTTTTCCGACTGGCGCTGGGAACTGGATAATTTGATTGTGAGACGATTTCCGCACTCAATGGACCGTAAATTTACAGCAGTAACAGACGAAACAGAGAGAGAGAGAGAGAGAGAGAGAGAGAGAGAGAGAGAGAGAGAGAGAGGGAGACAGATAGAGAGGGAGAGCTGTTGTGAGCGAGAGAGAGAGAGAGAGGGACATATGTAAATGTTGATAACAATAAATGTTCAAGGCAAAATTTGAAGCTAAGGTTTTTGATTTGGTCACAGCGTTCTGCTTGGTCTATTCCGTCTGTCCGTCCCATTGTCTGTCCGTGTGGGTGTGGATAGAGTTGTAAGAAACGCTTCAAAGCGTTTCTTTCATGCACTTTTCACACCAGCAAAGCAGAGAGCAGCTAAGTGGGGAGGGAGAGATTTACTCGAGCGCAACAAAAAACCATTCGACTTAAAAGCAAACATCAAATTGAGTCGGGGCGAAGCTACCTAATAAAATCCATAACAATCGAACACAGAAAATTAAGTCTCCATGAGTTGATTCGCCTATAAATTTATTTAAATTATATGTAAATCGAATAGTGAGCATTAAATGCTAATAAATATAAAATAAAAGATATTAAGCTAAGCTAGACAATGGCCAAAAAAGAGATAGACAAAGATCGAACTAGACATGATATCTAATGGATCAAAAGTTGAATAATTCACATATCCTCTTGAATTTTATTAGTTACTTAATATTATATTGTAAACAATTTATAATATTGATTCTTTAGCTAACATTTTTATTATTATTTATTTATCTTTTTGCATTAAATATATT